CATTAAATAACAAAACAAATAATAATAAATTCGCTATTATGTTGAAACGTAACTCTGTTAAAGTTCATTCAAACACTCGACCACACTGACAGCTCGCACTAAAGAAACGAGAACCAGCTGGCCGTATGGGTGATTTTGGAAATTTTCTGAAATTTTTGAACGGTTTGGCTCGTCCTGAATATTGACTGAGTGCAATTTGTCTTGAAAAATTGTGAAATACCGCATTCTGTCCGGGCTCTGTATGATAAATAGTACTGTTTCACCTCAAATGTGGTGTATAAAAATTATAAAAGGTTGGTTTAAACACCCCCAGATTTGTTGGCAAGAATTTGTAAAGTAAACCTGTCGAACGCAAAAAAATTTGGCGTGATTTGTTTTCCAAGAATTTGTTTTCGAGGCCTAATCTACTGTGATCTTGAATGTGATCGAAGATGTTTGCTATTTTTTGGGTGTACATATAAGGTTATCAATTCGATGTAAGATGTTTCACTCTAAAATAACTTAGCCTTTCCCTCAAAAGTGACATGAATGTACGTGCCCTTAAGTTAAATGATTTATGGATTGAAAGGTTATTGTTTGATTTAAATTATAAATTTATTAAAATTGGAGCTTCGTTTTTAGCCCTGGCTAAATCTATATATTACGATTAGGTCATGCGCCGCTTTCAGGTGACTTCACCCGTTGGACAGGTTTTATAGTACTTTTTAGGTCTATGAAGGCCTCGTCACGTAATTATGCAAGTTCTATTTTTTGCCGGTGGATCTATTTCCTGGTGGTGGATGAAACAATAGAAATGGGGTGGTGGTGGTGGAAAAGCAATAGACCAGAGAACGAGGCTAGCCGTCGTAAACAAAGCTTTTTAAATCTCCTGAGACAAAATGGCCGTCGCGAGACAAAGGTCTATTGTAAGGTGGAAAAGAAAACTAGGGAGGAAAGTGAAAATTGTTTTTCGTGGTAGAAAGAGATATTTTGCCTTTTGTCCTCATTAAATTTGCACGATTTACGAGCCAAGAATCAATGAGCTGGGATTTGAACAATTTGTTGGACAATGAAAGCGCCAGCCAGTATAACTTGCATAATTACGTAACGGCTAAGTGACAACATATACCAACCAATGAATAGTTTCTTAGTTTTTAGTCAAGGAACAAAAAGCAGGGCCTCCATCGACCTAGAAATTACCAGAAAACCTGTCCAGCGGAATGAGTCACCTAAAATAGCGCATAACCTGATCTTAATGAGAAGTTCCTCGGTATTTTAATCATGGGATAAAGACAAAGGGTTATGACGTCATCAGCGTTACTGCATTCCTCAGCAAGTGAATACGATTTCTCCGCAAAAAGCGGGTCCATTTCATTTCTACTATACTACTGATAATATTGCAGAGAGGAGACGTTAGCCTTTATTTTCTAACATAGGCACGTTTAACGTGCACGAGCTATTTTGAATGCTTCAGTGTAAACGTATCAACAATCTACTGTTTTAATCCTAAATTTAGACTATTTTTTGCGCGAAATTGGGTATTGTTGTACATTAATGAAAACGCGAAACGCTGGGCACAGCTGATTCGATCATCATACTACAGATTCACTTAGTCTTTCCTTCGAACATCTGGTGCAAAATAAACAAATTGTTAAAGTACTATGTATATCAACTCACCAAACGTTGCTTAGAGGGAAGACTCAAAAGTGTCAAGGTTTCTTCATGGTGTCTTAAGATAATGAAGCTCGTCGAATACCGAATAGCTAAGAAATGTCACGTTTTTCATCATTGTTGTAGTTGGTTGCATCATCATTATTCACGAGGTTGTCACGTGCGATTCTATACGTTAAAAAGTTCATTGGTTCCTAGCATCAACTCATAGTACCTTCAACCTTATTGGTCCCTGCCACAGATATCCGAACACACAAAGCCACAAAGCCAGAAAGATACATACGCTCAGACCACTGACATATAAGCTATTTTTTTAAAAAAGTTCAATAATGGTATGTGTATGTGTAGTTGACCATTATCACATAAGAGTAGACATTCACCAGATGGCGCAAACTCATAAGAAAGTAAATAAAATACACTCAGTGGAAATTCGAAGCTTAACGACAGACGTCTGCATACACATGAAAAGGATCCATCACCGTCCTCTGACAAGCCACTTAACCTCTTGGGCTTCATTTTCACTCGGATGATTCCATCATCTGATGGCACAAGAGGATATTCAATTCACCTCACCCAAAACATTGGCATCATCTCGAATACATCCTCACAAGGCGAGCTATCCTATCGTGCATCAAGCTTACATGTAGCCTTCATGACAGCTCAGAAGGTGACACTGACCATTCCCTGGTGTAGAGCAAAGTGAAACTACAGGCAAAGAGAATCTACCACACAGACTGTGTGCAAACCATGCCTTGGCGTCAGCAAGACTCACGATGCACATAAAGTGGAGGAGTTCATAACTACGCTTGAGAAATCTCTCCCCCAGCCTCTTTATTGAAAAAGGGCAAGAAAGATTGGATTACTTCAGGGATGCAGTCAATGGATCAGCCATGCCCAACTTCGGCAAGAAGAAAAACAAATCTGCAGACTGTTCGAGAAGCATATAGAGACAATAACTCCAGCAATAGAAGAAAAGAGAAAAGTGTTAATTGGAGGAAAGACCTGTCCATGTGAACAAAATCTACAGGTTCTAGAGGCAGCACGTAGTAATGTGCAACGATGCAACAGACGCTGTGCAAATGAATACTGGCCTGACCTCTGTGCTAGTATTCATTCTACTGTTGAGACATTACTAAGGCCATATGTACGATGAAATCAAGCAGGCACTTGTTCGTTCTCAGAAAAAAAAACAGCCCCCTTAAATTTTGCTACGGGCGAGATAATCCAGGACAGAGCGCAACAGACCGAGCGCTGGGTAGAACATTACCCTGAGCTGTCTGCTAGAGAATATGGTGTCTTTGGAAGCATTGAACGCCACAGAGTGCTTACTCTGGATAATAAGCCTACTAAAGTGGAGCTGAAAGAGGCCCTGGAGTGATACTCTGCCTGTGCTAGAGGGAAGGAAGGTACCACAATGATGAGAGACGCAAACATAGTCACTCTATACAAAAACAGGCCGGCCAGAAGAGACTGCACTAACAATTATCAAGGCATGGAATTCCCCAGTATCGCTATAAAGCTCTTTGCTCGATTCTTTGTGAAGGGTCTCCAAGTGCTTGCAGGGAGATTTTATCCTGAATCATGGTGTGGTTGCCCTGCTAAACGATCAGTACTATTAGGTATAATAGCTTGTCCAGCCCGGCGATCAATTCGGTCAGTTTGGTCAAGGCTTCGCCGCAATGGCCACAAACGTTACCTTCATTTAAATCATCTTTTGGTGGGCACTTTCTAGCTGACCTAGTATTTTTTCCTTTTTCGGCCAAAGCAGAGCCATTTAAGCTTACATAATCATATCACTTCAATTATGCAACTTGCAATCCGTTGTCGACGAGCTCTTCACATCCCGCTGGCCTTTAATGAAGGCTGCCGTCTTTGCTTCGAACTATTTAAACGGGTGGTTCAAGGGGAATAATTTTTTAACAACTTGACTCACAACTGACTTTGAGCTGAGACGGTCTTCCGAATGAGTTATCCCAGATAATAAGGATCATTACGGTGAAATAAAGGAACATTTGATGGAATAGCTAAGTGTTACGTGTTGGTACATGAAAAAAGAGCTGGCCCCGGTTGTTCAAAAGGAGGATATCGCTATCAACTGCATAAATCTCTATCCACAGGGATAATAAGATTGTTTTACTCCCCTGGATAGTGATTTATCCGATAGATAGCAACAACCGGGGTCTGGTGTAATTACATTTCCCCTTAAATAAGCGATTTTGTAAAATTTACATAATTCTAAATTAAATTCATAATTCTCTGTGCATAACAGTTACTTCACTTGAATCTTTCAGGCAGCCTAAGGATGTGTACTAAGAACTGAATCAGATTTTTCTACATCTTAAGACCAGACTAGCCAGTCGTTGGCAACTCGTGACGCAATTAGATACTTCTGCAGTTTTTAAAATCCCCAATCACAAACTCTGTCCGAGGATCCTCAAGTATATTACAATATAAACTCTATCGAATTTTAATGAAATGATGCAAGCTTATCAGTTTTAGGAATTTCAATGTACTATCACATGCCTTTCAACATTTTAGACGTTCTTTTAATTCTTCCAAAATAGTTGTTCCTAACTTAAAATTCTACAAGAGAAACCACGTTTTTCAAACATGCAAAGAAACCTAAAAACTAAAAGATTTCTTGTAAATACAAGACTGCAGATACACGTTCTATAGACTTAAATTTCAACAAACAGAACTCATGATCATTTACTTCAACAAGTTAACTGCTGTAAGTAGCTTTATTTTGACGATCCGGGTAACCGAAATCTTTCGTAACTGTGTATTCCTGGGTAAGTCAATTTAACCGAAACAGAATGTTTCGTGGAATCACAGCTACGATAGCATCAGCTTAATTTACACTTTTAAATGACACCTGACCAGACCACAGAGTCGTTACGTATAAGTTAATGTTTTCGTAGCTATTTCTTAAACCAAAAGCTTATTATGATAACGTTTCTAACTGGCTTCCTTATTTTTTATCTAAGATTAACTCTATTTCCGTAGAACTATTTGCTTATTATTCTGGTCTTGTTTTTTTACCTGTTTATGTTTCAAAACAGACCCATATGTTCAAGGTTCAAGAAGCTATTCACCATGGAATGATTGCCGCAGATTTTCTTTCAAACACTAAACGAGTTGTCCAGGCTATCGAGCTGTGGAACGAGTGTTCAATACTACTAAACAACAAAACCTTGGAAAACAAACATGAACTTGCCACAATAGTAAGTATAGGGCTGTATAAGAGGCTGTTTTATGGAAATGCTGCTATTACGAAACTTTCACCAGCTATAGAATCTGGCAAAAAGCTTTTAGTCCTACTTCGTAATCGTAAGAGAAAAAAAGAAGAAGGTATCACAGCCTTGATCTTATCAAAACTGTACCTCCAAAAAGGTGAATACCAGGAAGCACAAGCATTCCTCAATATTGCACTCTGCGTTTACAAAGAAATCGAAGACAAAGACGGAGAAGCGTCATGCTACATAAACCTGGGAATTGTGTTTAGGTCTGTCGGTGAATATGCCAAGGCTGAAGAATATCTTCATAAAGCACTTACCATCAACACAGAAATTGGCGACAAACACAGAGAAGCGTCATGCTACGCAAACCTAGGAGCTGTGTTTTTGCATGTTGGAGAATATTCCAAGGCTGAAGAATATCTTCATAAAGCACTTACCATTAACACAGAAATTGGCGACAGAGAGGGAGAAGCGTTATCCTACATGAACCTAGGAAATGTGTTTCAATCTGTCGGAGAATATGCCAAGGCTGAAGAATATCTTCATAAAGCACTTACCATCAAGACAGAAATTGGCGACAAACACGGAGAAGCGTCATGCTACGGAAATCTAGGAAGTATGTTTCGATCTATCGGAGAGTATACCAAGGCTGAAGAATATCTTCATAAAGCACTTACCATTAACACAAAAATTGGCGACAAACACGGAGAAGCGTCATCCTACATGAACCTAGGAAATGTGTTTCAATCTGTCGGAGAATATGCCAAGGCTGAAGAATATCTTCATAAAGCACTTACCATCAACACAGAAATTGGCAACAAAGACGGAGAAGCGTCATGCTACGCAAACCTAGGAGCTGTGTTTTTGCATGTTGGAGAATATTCCAAGGCTGAAGAATATCTTCATAAAGCACTTACCATTAACACAGAAATTGGCGACAGAGAGGGAGAAGCGTTATCCTACATGAACCTAGGAAATGTGTTTCAATCTGTCGGAGAATATTCCAAGGCTGAAGAATATCTTCATAAAGCACTTACCATCAACACAGAAATTGGCGACAAACACAGAGAAGCGTCATGCTACGCAAACCTAGGAGCTGTGTTTTTGCATGTTGGAGAATATTCCAAGGCTGAAGAATATCTTCATAAAGCACTTACCATTAACACAGAAATTGGCGACAGAGAGGGAGAAGCGTTATCCTACATGAACCTAGGAAATGTGTTTCAATCTGTCGGAGAATATGCCAAGGCTGAAGAATATCTTCATAAAGCACTTACCATCAACACAGAAATTGGCGACAAACACAGAGAAGCGTCATGCTACGCAAACCTAGGAGCTGTGTTTTTGCATGTTGGAGAATATTCCAAGGCTGAAGAATATCTTCATAAAGCACTTACCATTAACACAGAAATTGGCGACAAAAACGTACAGGCGTCATGCTACATCAACCTAGGAAATGTGTTTCAATCTGTCGGAGAATATGCCAAGGCTGAAGAATATCTTCATAAAGCATTTACCATCAACACAGAAATTGGCGACAGAGAGGGAGAAGCGTTATCCTACATGAACCTAGAAAATGTGTATCAATCTGTCGGAGAACATGCCAAGGCTGAAGAATATCTTCATAAAGCACTTACCATCAAAACAGAAATTGGCGACAAACACGGAGAAGCGGCATGCTTCATAAACCTAGGAGCTGTGTTTGTTTCTGTCGGAGAATATGCCAAGGCTGAAGAATATCTTTATAAAGCACTTACCATCAACACAGAAATTGGCGACAAACACGGAGAAGCGACATGCTTCATAAACCTAGGAGATGGGTTTAGATGTGTTGGAGAATATGCCAAGGCTGAAGAATATCTTCATAAAGCACTTACCATCAAAACAGAAATTGGCGACAAACTTGGAGTAGCGTCATGTTACATAAACCTAGGAGCTGTGTTTCAATCTGTCGGAGAACATGCCAAGGCTGAAGAATATCTTCATAAAGCACTTCTCATCAGCACAGAAATTGGCGACAGAGACGGAGAAGCGACATGCTGCATAAACCTAGGAGCTCGGTTTACATATATTGGAGAATATGCCAAGGCTGAAGAATATCTTCGTAAAGGACTTACCATAGTGACCGAAATCGGTAACAAAGACGGAGAAGCGGCATGCTACATAATACTAGGAACTCTGATATTTAAGGCTGGTGAATGTGAGAAGGCTCAAAAATATTTTAACAATGCTCTTGAAATTAGCAGGGGGACTAGAAACATCCCTTTGCAATTTGAAACTTCTCTTGGCCTAAATAAGTGTTCTTTTAAAATAACAGGAAACATATCTGAAGCCTTATCCAATCTCCGGACAAGCATTCAAATTTGCGAAAAAATGCTTCTTTCTCTAGGAAGCAAAGATTGCCACAATATATCATTTTTTGACGAACACGCGTCTCCCTATCGGCTGTTTTGTTCATTGAGTTGTTCTAGTGGGAAACCCTATGAAGCTTTACACGTTGCTGAACTTGGACGGGCCAGAGCTCTAGCAAAACTTATGTCAAATCGCTACTCCATTGAAAAAGAAATATCCATCAACCCACAATCGTTTGTTGGCATCGAGGAAGTAATTAAGAAAAATGGAAACAGCACCTGCCTATACATCTCCTATGACTACAGTGACAATATCTTTTTGTGGGTTTTGAAACAAAGCAAACCGGTAGCTTTCCGAAAAACGAAACTTTGTGAAAGCTATGTTAGCAAGCACGGCAAAATCTCTGTATATGACCTGTTTGGAAACGAAAGCTTTTTAAGAAAATTTCACGTTTTACCTCAAGAGCAATGTGAAGACCGATCACTCTTCTCTTCATTCGCCAACCAGCGTCTTCTTGTAGATGAGGAAGAAGGAAACACAGACCCTGAACCGCCAACACTTTCTCAGGTTTACGACATGTTGATTGCTCCCGTAAGTGACTTGCTAGAAGGATCTGAAATCATTGTTGTTCCTGATAACTGTTTCTTCCAAGTTCCTTTTGCAGCATTACATGATGAAAGTAACCGCTATTTGTCAGATTCTTTCAGGATGCGCATTGTCCCTTCTTTAACGACTCTCAAGCTCATTCTGGACAGTCCAGCGGACTCTCACAGCCAAACTGGTGCATTGATTGTGGGTGAGCCAAATGTGATGAATGTGTATTTCAAGGGAGAGTTAGGGTCTCTCTGTCCGTTGCCTGGGGCGAAAGCAGAAGCAGAGATGATTGCAAGACTACTACCTCAATCTCACCTTTTAATAGGAGAGCAAGCAACAAAGCAGGCAGTCCTTCAGAGAATACCCTCAGTCAGTCTCATACATATCGCTGCTCATGGTGATGCCGAAAGAGGAGAAATTGCTCTTACCCCCCATGACTCCACGATGGGGATTCCACATGAAGCAGATTACTTACTGTCAATGACCGACATTTCACAAGTTAGACTCTCAGCCAAACTGGTGGTCCTTAGCTGTTGCCATACCGCACGTGGACAGATCAAAACAGAAGGCGTTGTTGGAATCGCTCGAGCATTCTTAGGATCGGGGGCACGCTCAGTGTTGGTGGCATTGTGGGCCTTACAAGACAGAGCAACAGAGGAGTTCATGGGAAGATTCTACGAAAACCTTGTCCAAGGGATAAGTGCAAGTGAATGTCTTCACAGGGCCATGAAGTGGATGCGAAATAACGGTTTCCCTGAAGTGAGGCAGTGGGCACCTTTCATGCTGATTGGGGATGACGTGTCATTTCACTTTAGTAAAGAAAAGTGAAGGTAATTGTTTTGTGACAATCAGGGCCATAGGAAGTCTGCCAGGCCTTTTTATATTGCAGTTTTATCAACTTGGGTGCATTTGGTACTTTTACTAGTACCAAGTAGAAAGCATTATTTACCTTTAAAAACCACATTATTGACTACACCTGAAGTCAGCTTTTACTATGACTGAGGTAAAATATCAATTAACCGCTTTTTACCATCGAAGATACTAAACACCTCAACTATTCGACCACACTTACACCCCATGCATATGTGGGGCTTTGCATTAAAAAAAAAAGGTTATTAAAAGCGCCGTATACTTACCGTAAAAGAATGATTTTACCTCTTTTCTCGTTTTTCTGATATATGAGGCACAAATAATTGAATATTCTTTTATTTGCTCTCACTCAATATGAACGTGAGGGTCTGCTGACAAAATGTTTTCTTTCTGAATATAATAGGAAGAGAATTTCAGATATGAAACAAAACTGACAAACATCCCAAGATAGTTTTTTGTTTGATATAAAGATAATCGGATTAAAAATATTATGGCGGAGATCTAGATCTGAGAATTGATCAAAAACACTGAAAACTACTAATTGTGGACTGTATATGGAGTCTTGACCGTAACTAGAGGGCTTTTCGCGGACACTGACTGAATTACAGTAGTACACTGGTTCTATACTTGAACCAAAGAAGGAAGACCGAGATTCCATAGCTCTTCAAGGCAAGAAGTTTCAAACCTATTTTAGCTGTGCACCCTGCATTTCATTTATGATGCCAGTAATTGTAAAGTTTTAGCAGTGAGATAAACTTTAATAAGTAAACCTCTTCCTTCACGATAAAGCCGGAGGATCCCTCTTCCAGGTAAAATGAACCTAAATGCTACTTACCCCAGCCTGAGTCTTTTGTAATGAATATATGTGCTTTACTAATTTTTGTCTCTTATACATTACTGTTGCAGGTATTACACTAACGACACACCATGGAATAACGAAACAGCCCTTCCACAGAATTCCAATGAGGTAATCCCTGGCGGAAAATGTAAAGAGTCAATCTCTGCAGCATATGAACTTTAATTAAAAGAATTAAAAGACAACTGACTTGCTTGGTCCAGCGGTTCATCTTTGCCGGCTTAATTATTTTTCCCACCTTGAGTAGCCTAATCTCTAAAATGTCTTGCAAAAGCACAAATCAACAGCCCTGTAAAAGTGTACATCGGTAGCTCGGACAATGATAAGGCTGTAATTGCCACACGAATAACATCAGGATTAGCCTAATTTCCCTGTCTTTTTAGGTAATTTGTTTAAAAAAACTTACTTCCTTAATTAGTTCGTAAGGCTACAACTAAAA